ATGACATGTGGTATTTGTAATTTTAATGCATAAAATTTGATGTATGGTATTTGATGTGTTTTCAACAATCACTGATTTATTCATGTGATTTTATTAGAAATTTGTTCTTTCTCAAATATTTCTAAATCTTGATATTCTGAAAATGTACTTGAGTTTAATTTGTTTTGAGCCTAACTTTATTTATTGGGTCTTTATTTGGGCTACAAATAAAGTTGAAGATTTTACCATTTGGATGTATATTTCTCAACCACTGTCTAATTTAAACGTTTAAATTCTTAAAGATTTCGCCTTTTTTTGTTTTAATAGCATAAATTGCTAAAAAAATTCTACTTTTTGCTAGGTGAATCTTTGTTCACACTTAAAGAAATATTACAATTTTTCACATTTTGGTTCAAAAAGAAAAAATAGCTTCATGAACATGATAATTTCTACTTTCTAGAGACATTCTACAATATTCAAAATATCAAGTTTCTTCAAACTTTATCAATTCATTTACTGGGAATTCAAAGCAAATTACCATGAGTAATGATATTTATTATCTCTTTCTATGTTCTGGAAAAGATGTGATAGGCTTGCAGTTACTCAATAGCTAAATATTACATAGTAATAATTTTAATACTATTTTATTAATAACACTGGTACCTAGATGTATGGATTAATCTATCATGAGAAAGGCTGAACTCACAGTTTTTTGTTTTTATTAATGAATTAATAAATAAAAATTAGATCCAATAATAATATCATTAATATCATTGATAAAAAAAATTAATAAATTGGTTTTATGTGACATTTTTCTTTCTTTTTTACAGATTTTTGATTGACCTGGTAAAGATTTCTAATCATAAATATTTTTGGTTCTAGTTCAGACTCATAGCTTGAAAATATGAGGAAGAGAACACATGTTGCAGTGAGCGCGTTCTCAAACATGCTGCACAAGACTGTCGTGGTGGCGTGTGCAGGAGTGACACTGGCAGGCTCGGCCTACATTGGAGGGCTCGTATACCATCATTACTTTGTGACACTCCCAGCACGGGAGAAGATGCAGCTTGAAGAAGACAACAAGCCTCTTTCTGAATTTGATATGGAGGATACTGCCAAAACTTTGAAAGTTTAGTTGGTAATATTGCTAAAATTTGTACATATATTGTTTTGTATATTAAGTCTACTTTGACTTGACTCTTCGTTATTGTGTAATCTGTAGAAATACCAGCGATTTTTGACAAATCTTGCTTATTTATGATATGGAATATGCTCTTATCCCAATCAATAGAGATGGTTTGCTGAGATTTCATTCGAAGTGTTTGAAATAAGTTTGTAAATGAACTTTTTTTATCATCTCTTACTAGTCCGTTTTCAGCTGCTAGGGATTGAGCTGACTGTGACATTTCGGAGGTCGGAATGGAGTTCAGTTTAACTATTAGCCATCGCGCTCAATTTAAACATCTTTTAGGATGTTGAAGGTTTCTCTGTAGCACTAACCTATATTAAGATACTCATCATACAAAAAGTGATAGAAGGGCAATGTTGCAAGAATTGCGCCTTGGAACTTTGTGAGAGTTTGCATTCAATGTGTTTTGTGAGAGTTCAATGCGATTCAACGGGTTTTCTGCTCGAAAATGCGATTTCCTCTTATTATTTTTCTCCCAAATGTGTTTTGTGAGAGTTCAATGCGATTCAATGGGTTTTCTGCTCGAAAATACGATTTCCTCTCATTATTTTTCTCCCAATTGTTACATACTAAAATTACTTTTTCCAAAAACGCTATATCATATATAGTAGGTATGCTGAAGCTTTTTATTATTAAATTCTTTCATATCTGATTATAATTATTTCATTCGCATGTGTGATTTATATGTTTAGTAGACCGTTATACTGTAATCGAATTTAAAAGCTCCTCTTAACAGCCACCCCTGAAACGCCCATCAAAATGCTCAGATAGAAATTTCTTATTACACCCATTCACGAAACGCCCATGAGAACAAATTTTATTATCACGGTAACGCAAAAATTATTTTAATATTATTCAAAGTTGACTAAACAAAGAATCAAGTTTCAAATTAGATGAATTGTTACATGAAGTTTGTTCGTCAGCTATGATGGCCTGCAGTTGCAACTTGCGCTGCACCTTGTGACGGAAGAATATGTTAGAATATGAAATGAATATGTTGGAAATAGCCCCGTTCGATCAGAAGAAGCGTAGCTGAGGACATTGATTGATCGCTTCTGAGGAACGAGGACGTCGATGGTCAAGTGATGCTGTGGGGGGGGGGGGGGGGGTGTGGAGACTCGGCACTAGTGCAGCCGCTGGAGCCCGAGGCTGCTCGTCTCCATCTGAGCGTATTTGGGTGCACCCGCAGTACGTGAGAATTAAATTTAACGTAAGTGCTAGCCTTCTTACTTCTATTTTCTTACCATTTTCGTAGTTGTCCTCAATATCACTGCTTGTTTGGGCTAAAACCAAATTCCCAAATCTTGGTGTCTTTGTTCACAGGATGGTTCAAAAATATGAAACTGTGCATTTCCGTTTCGCGCGTTGAATGTCGTGTATTACAGTAACACAGATTCATCTCAATTTTCCATGGCTTCGATGCAATTCAGCAAGAAACTCCGTCAAATCCACATTCAATTTTTTTTAGTTACCTAGCATGAGGTTTGCTAACTTCAACAGACGTTCATTTTTACATCGCGTTATTTGCATCATAACCGTGTCCGTCAAATATGTATATGATTTTAGTATGTAAAGTATTTGGCGATAGCAAAAACCATCAGTGAGAATGAATCAAATGCTGTTCATCTCTATTCTAACATTTAACAGTTGAGTGGAGGAATGACGCGTGGACATTCGAGTAATTTAAAATTTCTACAAATTGTTTATCATTGCAGCAAAACACTTTATAATTTCATGTGCAACAAAATGAAAAAAACACGTTTTCAAAATCTGACGCTTTTCTAAACAATTAATTTCTTTAGAAAAATTTCGCTGGGATAATTTTTCAGTTATTCTACCGCTAAGAACATTTTTAGGTTAAAAAGTGCTAAAAACATGAAATGTTCGAAAACAAAGCCCCACAAAATCGCAAATCACTCGGCTTTCAATTCTGGTTCAGCAACTATGATCTTGCGTTTTGGTTCGTGAATAATGAGCCGTAAATGTGGAAGCAACAAAGCTCAGTTGTCTTCGCCTGTGCTGCTCTCAAATGCTGATCACGGGATTGCTTTAATCTGCCTAATGGTGCAGGTCTGTACACCAGAGAGCTCCCCATCAATTGCACGGCTGCAGGGGACATTCGAACACTTCTCGCTGGCACAGTTCTTGATACGCTAAGCTAGTATTTCCCCGAAGGAAATTTACAGTAACAATAGGTAAGAGATTGGCGAAAACAAGCAAGAACTCTTGGTTAAAAAAGTCGAGTTGTGACATTCCTTAGTTCTTCTCACGGGTCTCTAAACTAACGATTATTTTGTCGAAGAATTCCTTGTCAAACACGTCTCACAATAAACAAATTCATATTGCATTTACTTAATAAAAAGAGCCTAAACCAAACTAATAGTTATAGGTTCAAGTCGGCCATCATATTTTTGCATCAAAACTTAATGCAATTGTCCTCTGCCAGCTGACCGACAAAATTTTAAAGCTGGCAGTGCGGCTCCAGACGGATGCCATAAGTTGGAAAATAGCGCCACGTAAATTTTTAAACATTGCTTCTGCTCCGCTATTTCAGTACAATAGGTGTAGTGAGATAGTCTTTTCCAGTAAAATTGAAGTAGTTGCCAAGTCAGACTAGCGACTTCGAAACAAACAATTCTCTTTGCATCAATGGTCCAGACTTTTTGGTTTCGAGGTTCCTTCGGAACGAATCCAAACTTCCAGGGTCAGCACTAAAATTTTCATCGCAACTTAAAATATCCAAACTGTCTCAATCAATCAGCATTTGCCACCATTCATTACGTGTGGTTGCCTCGTGTCAATTGAAATTTGCGCACGACAAATTTCTTCCTTCATATTTCGTTTCTTGACGAAGTTAAGAATTGTTGAGAGAAAAAAAATTCAAAATTTCATAATTGGAAAATAAGCTAGAGAAGTTACTTGAATAGTGCTCACAAATTTGTGTTACCAAAATTTCCAATTAGTTATAGATTCGTAAATTCCTTCGTAATCGTTTCCTGCCAAAAGAATTTAGGAGAATACATAAATAACAAGGCATTTTAGATGTCACGAATATGACGGAAATTGTCTAACAATTCCCAACGATTAAATGAAAATGTTGGTTTTCAAGGAGGCAGCCAAAGACTGCCATTTGATTATATATTATCTGGGATTCTCTAAGGCCACATATTTTACGAACAGAGGTTGCCGAGTTTGACCTACATTTATTCACGAAAGGACTAGCATAAGACTTTCTCTATGCAATTTCTATGTAACTGATAGATTTTTCTATTTAGTTCAGTATTCAGTTAAGACTGAAATGAATCTTTAGCTTGGAACAAATAAGCGATCGCACAAGGAACTTTAATCATCCTAACTTGTCAGCGAGATAGTGAACCAAAAAGACGTCAAATCTTATTATCTCAACGCAAGGTTACTGCTAATCGCTTATTGCGATCAATCTGTTATTTCTAAACATTTTAAAAGTGGATGCGCTTGTCGTGAAGTAGCGTTAAAAAATTGTCTGAATCCGTTAAGATAGCTTAAAGAGCGTATTCCATCACCAACGCCACTAGAAGCGTACAATTTTCCTGAAACGTCTTCGCTCTTGGTACAGCTTGCATTACTTGGATAGAATATGTTTGGTATACAAATTTTCAACTGAAAAAACATCCAAGTGCCGAGACAGGCTCATTTTATCGCAATGGAAACTCGTTCAGTCACGGTGATACGCATGGAAGTGAAGAGTTTACTCTGAAATTGAGAACCAAAACATCGCACACGCGTAAATTAATAGGACATTACCCAAATAGTAAGATCTGCAACAAGGCTGTTTACACAAAAATGAAATGAAAAATGCGACAAGGATATATTTATCAACTAAAGAACGCTTTTTATATTATATACAATGATTACAAGCAATAGCCTTCGATAAAATATCAGCTGAAAAACTGAAAGATGGTTCGATCACCCGAAATAAGAAAATTTATATACAATCAAATAATGCCTTATGCGTAATCAACATGAAATTCTTTCTAATTCACAAATCGATAAAAATGTTTGTATGGAGTAATGAACCCAGTAAGCGTCAAAACTTGTGACCTACAGGGTACATCCTACCTATTGGAGCTAGCCAGTGGTGCTTTTCAAAAATCTTAAAAGACAAGAAAAAAAAAAAAGTTTACAAAATCTTAAAATTAGGTCCGTGATATTAATATTTACTTAAACTAGAGAGCGTTTACAATACTAACAAGATGCAAGACATGAACAGCTTCGGAGTGGGGCCTCTGGAACAAAACCGTGCAGAGCTTGTATGGTGAAGACACTGTTTCTGCACTGCCAAGATAGCGAGGCAGTGGAGCACTGTAATGTAAGACAACGTTAGCAGTCACTGCTCGCAAGACCAGGCATGCTAAACGATGATGCCGCCGGTACTCTATACCGCGTACCTCAACCCATAATGTTCCTGTTTTTGGCGAACTGCAGTGAAAGAAAAAGATGCCTAGCATTCTTGTTGTGTCCTCGACTTAAAACAAGAATCGTACGAGTTTCGTGCAACAGAATTTTGATTAATCTCTTTTCAGTTGATGAACAAAATATTGATCTCATGTTCTTTAAACATGGTGATAAATTAATCTTTCTGACACGAAAAAAAGCAAAAATTGGAAATTTGTACAGGTATTTTTTTTCACAAAATTGTTCTGTAAAGTACAACTGTGGAGATCTTTACTTCAACAATGAAGATTGGCGCGTTGGAGAGAGCCTAAAAGGCGCCCACCAAACTTTGAAGGAGAATAACCGTTGTAATTATCTATCCATAGCTGCAGTTCACCAAAAAGCTTCACAAGATTGTCAAGGACTGCATTCATTGATTTGCAGAGATGAGGGTTGAGATACGTTGACACGAGTAACCTTGTGTTTAATTCCAGCATGGACAGAATTGAAAATTTCCAGCTAAATGCCATAACAAACGAATGACACTAAATTCAAAGCCAAATATATCAAAAATTTCTTTTGAGGAAAAACAAGGCATATTACAGAAAACAAGAACTTCTATGAAAGTGGAAATATGAATTTTTAAGTAGTTGGTCACCAATTTAGGCGTAATTTGAACTAAGTCATTACAAATTTATTTGAGGGTTACAAGTGTGAATTGAGCCTTTCAAACAAGATTAGTCTAACTCAGAAAAGTAAGCTTTGATTTGGGTTATTTAGGAATAGATGAGAGGCTTCATTAATTCTTGTAAAAGTTCTTGTAAATTTAGTTATTTTTAGGTTGGCTACAATTTGGAGGGAACAATCTCAAGCTGCAAAACAAAACTTGGAATTACGAGATATTTTTTTCCAGCACAAATTTGAAGAATGTGTTATGGTCTAATTAATAATAGAATCTTCTCGACACATGCTAACTATGTTGCTACTGGCAGATGTAAGATACCTACACAAAGAGTGGATGACCACTGTTGAAGGCAGCTCAGCAGCCAAGTACCTGGAAAATGTGTTCAAGCCGTGAAATCCGTAGCAAGAACATCAACAATTATGAACAATATGCCAGTTTACATAATAATACACTCAGCATTAATCAACAACAATTACACATCAGAATACAATATGACACAAAATATTGAAATGCAAAGGGGAACTTCATTAATGGCTGAACTCACCAGGTAATAGAGCAAGTGGAGGAGGGAAGACTGAAGCAAGACCAGCATGACACATAACCTCTTTAACATCTATGACTTCTCAGAAACATTGCCCACTAATTGAGCAGTGCTCAGTTAAAATGGGTCAAATAGCTTCATGGTATTATTACTCATTGAAGCCAGCAGAGCTAGACTGAAAATTTGGTTGCAATTATACCTATTTGTTGTTGGCATGAACCAACTAGGTATATTTTTTTGCAACATTTGTAAAATAGTCACAAATGAAATTTTTTATGGACAAATAGAATAAGAATAACTTCATTTGGTTACAATATTGAATACCGGAAAACAAGAAAAAGTGTATTCATGTAATTGTTTAAAAAAATTAAAGAAAGCTGAAAATGTATCAGAATGACAAGAAAAGAAAGTAATTAGATTTATGTAAAACTATCAATTTCAATACTAGGAAAGAATGTTAAATGTTTCTCACAAGTCATAGATGTCTAAATCAACTGATAATATTACTAGTCACATGGCAGTGAGGAGTAAATTCACCAGAAGATCAGATTTTCTTGTAGCCTCACCTGACTGCTACCAATGCTTCCCTCCACCACAGCCATTGGAGCTCCACCACCACACCTGCCTAGATGAAAAAAATTGTACAGTACGGAGAAGAAAGGTCCATTAAATTTGCAGAACACACTTTAGAATGGTACAGAAATGATTCCCCAACATACAAATCACATGTTAATTAGTAAACATAGGTTACAAGACTGACATGGGCAACATTTGCTAGCATTTACAATAAAAAATCCTACCTAAGCACCACTAGCATCACTCCTCATTGACACAATTCTAACTAAGTCATGGTCTTCAACAAACAGCCTGTGCAGAATAGAATTAAATGGCTGCAATACACTCCGAATGTGCAACCAGCACATTTTACAATCCAAGAACATGACTAATGCATACATCATCAAGAAGTTGGAATTATTTATAATTTTCATATATTCCACTAAGCCTTACATGCATTGCATTTGTTTACACAAAAAATTAATGAAATAGACAAACTGGTTATGCAATTTTGCACGAGTCCTTTGATTTATTGCAATGAATAAAATATAATTGCCAGAACATTAATGAATTCTGAAACAATACATTCAAGCTGCATATGCACGAAAGCATGAATTTACGCAAAATTTATTAATGTGTACAAAAGTTTCTAATACAGTGCAAATTTTATGAGAAATACATAATAGAAAGTCATTCAAATATTAAAATTACTTATGATTATTACATATTCAATGAGTATACCTACCCTGATCAGTCACAGTGCATTTGCAGTCTCTGATGCAGACAGTCATTTTCTTGTTTCAACTTCTGCAGAAGCTTTGTATTCACATTATTGGTATTCACAAGGTGCTCACGATCAACCAACAACAATTCAACTTTAGATTCAAGAATTTCCAGCCTTTGCCTCAAAGATTTATTCTCACTTTCACTTGAAATTAAATTTTGTTGCAGTGAGTGAATCAGTTCCTTCTTGGCATCTCGATTCTTCTTGGCATTGATGGCATTGCGGCGACATCTCTCCAACTTGGGGTCAGGGAGTGGATCCAGCTGGTAGGCTTTGCATTTTGAGGCTTTTCGGCTCAGGGAACCACTTGAGTTCCTAGACTTCATAGACCAAAATGGTAGTTCTTCTAGTTTTCTCTTAGAAGACTTGGGTTTGGGAATATCAAAAACCTCACTCTTCTTAACAGTGATGATTCTTCTGGGCTTGGAAGTGATTAGTTTAGGAACTTTCTTAGTAGAATACTTATCATCTGAACTGATAAGTGATTTGAAATTTGTGGTAGTATTTAAAATTTCAGTTGGGCTGTCTTGATGAAGCTCTGATTGAGATTCTTCTAATAAAATATTATCTTCTTTACTAACTTCAACTTGAGAAGATGATAGAATGAGGCTATGAACATGATTGTCACTAATACTTGTAACTATGCTTTCATTGCTATTAAAGTTTGCAGTTGCACCAATTTCTTCGCAATTAGCTATTCTTGGAAGATTAAGTGTTGATTTTCGTGTACATGTGGCTGGATTACATGCGCCAAAACTATGCATTGTTTTCCCTCTTCCACAACTGGGATTAACATAAACCCCATTCATGGTCAACTTAGGCAGCTCCACAAACTTTGGTTGCTCAGGTGATTTTGCTGTTTTGCAGCAAACAGGAAGATGGAGAGGAGCCACCATATTTGCTGTTGTTAGTTCAGATAAATTTTGTGTAATTGAGGCTTCTTTTTTATCAGAATTTGTAGTATTCTGAACACACACACTATCACTATTTGAAACAAAACCTGACTGGGAAATCTCACAAGAGAGAAAAGAATCTTCATTATCAGAGGAGTATTCAAGATCATTATGTAAATCTTCTTGCAAACTTAGTTCTGATTTAGAGTCACCAACACTCAGACTAAACATTTCAAAGTCAGTTCCATCACTGGACTGATCAGGGTGGCTGAGCAATGGGCTTGAACTTTCACCAGAACTTCCCAAAGCCAAATTAATCAAAGGTTTAACACTTAAAAATACATCATTGATAAGCTCAGCTGAGGAACAGGTTTTCTTATCTTCTTGATACTGGTACATATCATTGATAAAGTTTTCATCAAATGGACTATCAGCATCAGTAAGGTTATCAAGGTTATCAAATACTAAAATAGGGCTTGAATCAGAGGTGCTGACAATTCCAGCATTGAAATAAGGATCATCAGATCCAGTGCCTGGCTCAAAGATGTCTTTGGATTTGTTGTTACAAGGATCATCAGCGCCGAGATAATCTGGTATGATCATATTTGTTGGTAGTTCATCAAAATTAATACAACCTAGTGAACCTACATCATTATAATAAGCAGACGTATCAAACATTGAAGAAGCTTCCATGATGAAGGAAAATCAAGTGGCCTATGAACAGTTAGTAGAATCGTACTACGGTACTAGGCTAGTAGGCTACAGAATTCAAAAAATTATGCTTTTGAAATTCTAACAAAATGAGCGATGTATTGATCTAGATAAGTTCATGCGCAATCTAGGTACAATATAATGGTAATCATTGAAAATTTAATAACAATTATATGGCTTTGAAAATTAATTTAATCAAAAGAAACAATAGTAATGAATGCCTGCAAACTGCTAAGCAGTTATCGTAGCTTGATCGAAACGTTTCACACTTGCATTAGTAGGGGGTAATTTAGTCCTTAGACATGAAGAGAAATTTGAAAATTTAAAAGGTGGTGACGAACCTTTTCACAATTTTGCTTCACGAGACTTTCACAAATATCTATTTTTTGAGAATCCTCAAAATTCAAGCGCGATTAATCACGATCCCAATCCAGAAGGAGTTGGCGATGAATGATGAAATGGAGTCCGCAGCTTCGAACCTTATTCCCCCAAACGCACAACGAAAATACCTCAGAAAAACGGCCAAATATCCCTAAATTGTAGAATTTATTACCGATAACGAACCTAAATATCGATTTTACTACAAATCAGCGTTGAATTAAGTGAATAATTTTTTTGTTGTGATGAATTTATACATATTGCAATCCTTCTTATGCAGCCATAAGCCCAAATAGTAGGTTTTTATACTTCAAGTTGTATAACTATACCCCAGGATAGGTTATTTGCAGGAAAGCTAGAGACGGTCAAATTTTGTAAGTTTGTTAACAGCTCTTTGATTGGCTAACGCCAAATGCACTCTATTGTTAGCTAAACGCGTATTCGCTGTAAACTACCCAATCAGTTTCACTATATACGAAACGTTTTGCTATAGCTCGATCTGATTTTGAAACCACAGCATGAAAATAAGACGGTTAGCTCATCGTTAAAGAGAAAACTTCGTTTTAATGCAAGGATCGACCTGTCAGGCTGTTAGATAACATTGGAATTCAGCATGGTTAGTCCTATCATATCTGTTGAATTTTGATTGCCATGCAGGATATACCCGAAGCTCAATTTTTTCCTTGATATGATATCTCAATTTAATAATCTGTCAGTTATCAGTGACGAAAAGTGATTTATTCTAATTATTTCCTTCATTTGCTTTGATATTCTCCAGAAACCCGAAAGTTTACAATTTTTTTCACATCTTTGATATAATTTTTGCTGTTGTATGTACATCTTCTTGCCATCGTGAAATCTTAATGAATCGAAAGAAGAGCTACTGGCGGTATGCTAGGTTGCTAGCTACGAACACGTATTGGACACAAACATTTTGTGTCCATTGGAGACTAAATTATCTAACTTAGAAGCAATCCTACAACCCCCAAAATGATAGCTAACAAAATCTCACAATATCATTTTTAATATGAAAATTTTGTAGCCTACTCGCACCGGAATGATTATTGGCTCTCACCAATAATGAAATTTTAGTCAATCGTGATTCAATCGTTAAAATTGGCCTTGTAACGATTGTGATTCCAGACGTGGGTCACGTGAATCCAAACCAAACACGCACTGCAATAAATTAACACGTACTGCCACCTAACCAGCATTAGGTTAACCATACACCTACATAACACGTGTTTTCTGATATGTTCGCACAGAAGAAAAATGGAACCAAATTTACCGCTGTGCTTAATCTATAAGTTTAGACGTGATTGGTGTGTTATATCTATTCGAAGACAGACATGAGATTGTAGTCTTGAATTCCATTGTATTGTATTGTATTGAACTCAACTGCACTGTATTTTACTCAAATGTTATGTTTGTCTCCGTTGTATGGTTTTACGTTGTACTGTTTTGCACAATTACAATATTAGTAATGTATCGATGTCATATTGTTAATGACAATGACAAGACGACTGAACATGGCTCGTACTAACTGAAATAATAATATATACACTAGACGACCAATAAGTTACATTTTTTACAATATTTTAACAGGTTAGCAAGGCGTTACCTGGAATTGAAAATTTCTGCAATTTGATAATCCCATCATTCCAAATCCCATAATTCCTGTAATACTTAATCCCGTTAATAGTAGATAATCTTCTATATTATAATTAAATAAATGCCCATTCAAATTCACATATTACTCAAAAAGGATTGGACTTCCAATTTTCCTTCGCATTCATTCATACAATTCATATGTAACAATATTTTCTTCGTACAATTCATATGTACGAATATTATTACGAAATCATATCTACTTCTTACTTTTTTTCCTCAAAAATTTTTCTTGTTATTTCACTGAAGATTAAATTTCACTTCATTTTAGAAGCTCTAATTACGGAGCCTTTTGCTCGTGAATGCAATGATTCCGAAAGATGAAACCGAGGATCGCAATTGCCTTCAAAGCTTGTTTTGTTCGATAGAAACTTAATTACCGGCTATGATGTTCGAGTCTTCTCTGCAATTAATTTGCCGCCTTTCTATTGATTGAGTACGAATCGTATTGACACTTATGCTTTTAGACACATGCGTTTTAGCAACATGGGTTGCTGAAACTCTGCAAACAATAATTTAATACTCTGATAGCACCAACGACAATATTTATTATTCAACTTGAGTTTAAATTTTCAAATTTCTCCAAATGAACGATTATTCTAGTGCATCAAAGTTCCATTGAGCTCCATTATAGCTTTATGTTCGTTCAGTAACGATGGCGCACTAGAGACTCGTTGCAGCTCACGCCTGAACGTTATTTCTCTTTGCATCACGGCGGCGCGCCAAAGACAAATGAACAAACCTAATCTGAAAAACGACGAGCGAGGCTAGTGCGCGCCGAGCGTAGGTAGTTTATACCGAGCGAGGCTAGTGCGCACCGAGCGTAGGTAGTTTATACCGAGCGAGGCTAGTGCGCGCCGAGCGTAGGTAGTTTGTACCGAGTGAGGCTAGTGCGCGTCGAGCGTAGGTAGTTTGTACCGAGCGACTCAAGTGCGTGCCGAGCGTAGATAGTTTGTACCGTGCGAGACTAGTGCGCGCCGAGCGTAGGTAGTTTATACCGAGCGAGGCTAGTGCGCGTCGAGCGTAGGTAGTTTGTACCGAGCAACTTCAGTGCGCGCCGAGCGTAGGTAGTTTATACCGAGCGAGGCTAGTGCGCGCCGAGCGTACGTAGTTTATAGCCTACCGACTCACTACCGAGCGACTCCAGTGAGCGCCGAGCGTAGGTAGTTTATACCAAGCGAGGCTAGTGCTTGCTCAGAGTATATAGATAGTATGCAAAGAGGTCGAAAAGGGGGTCAAAAAGTGTGTACCACGGGAGGAAATTTTACTCTGATCGAGGCAAGTGCGAGCCGAGAAAAACTAGTGCATATCTAATGTAAATGATATATTAGGCCTCAATCAAACTGTAATTCAGTAAATCATTAAAAACGCAAAAAATGTCTCAAGTCCAATTATTTATCTTTTCTTTAATATACTCTGACTTTTCGACCAATCTTAACAACCACAAATCCATCCCCAATAGTAGAGGTGCAGGACCAATCGCGAATTATTTAGCTTCCCAGAACCTATTGGGCCTAGAAAATACGAAGTAGAAATGATTATATATTTTTCACTTGTATCAAGGTCGATTTTATTCATCCTTTATCCAGAATCTTTTATCCAGAAATTTAAGAAACTAAAATGTTGCTGTTACATTTGATTTCATCCCTTGTGAAAACCAATTGAAAATATATGCAATAGATTTGTTATGTTGATAACAATCAGTTTCAACTTCATGAAGTTGAAGTTGACATATGAAGAATATAATTTATTAAACGTGAAGATGATTTGAAGATTCAAGCGATGAAAAAATGTCAGTGAATTTACGAAGAATTCGTTTTATCCATGACGTATGCAGATTGAAGACTTGTCGCATGCTTTCGAAACCATAACTATTGACATGTTTTATTTCCATAAGAGAGAAAAAAAAGAATTAATTGGAACTGCTGAATGAAAATCGAGATGAGTAAATTTTCTTAAATATCACGGTACCAGGCTGAGATTTTATATAAAATTTTGTAATTTTGTAAGTAGGCTTCGAGACTTCATGTTGTTATTATTCGAATTTTCTTCCGTGATGTTTCATTCTTTAATGAATTATTTGTACACAATTTGTACGTGATAACCTCCTGCAAATAGGATATTTGCAGCCAAAAATTCTTGGTGGAAAAAACCCTGCTGGTTGGCTACGAAATTTCATGGTTGCTATTCGAAAACATCTTCTGTAATAGTATCAGTTCTACGCAATTTGTACGGAAGAACTTCATTTAAATAAAGTATTCTCGCCCAAAAGTTCATGGTGGAAAACCACCTGCTAGTGACATTCATTGGTGATGAAGTCGCTGAAGAGCGACGTTAGCCGCGCATCTTGAACTCTCGCGATCTTTTGAAGCGAAGCTCGTCGCTCGATTCATTAATTGTGGACTTTTATACAATTTTGTCCGCGTCCTTGGTCCAGAACTGTCTCCGAGGGCGAGAATTTGTGGCTTTGGAGAGCATGTTTTTCTAGAGTATTCATCTTGTGACAGAATAATGCTCTGGAATTAATAACTCTTGAATATTTTAGAGCATATTGCTTGGGGTTGTTGGGTATAACGCCTGCTATGTTGAGCTGCGTCTCTGAAGGCATTATTATTCTTTTATCACTACTCTATTAATATCTTCTTCATTCCAAACGTTGTAGAAAAAAAGTGTTTCCTTCTAAGATGCATTAATTCCTTGGCCTATTTTAAAAAACTTTTCGGCTAAAATTAATCTCCCCTTAAGGAGGGGATTAATTTTTCGGAAATGCTTGCATCCCCTTAACTCATGTTCATTGAAAACATTCAGCTTTAAACCTCACAATAATTATAGTTCAATGACAATCAAATCACTGATCGCTGTTCTGACATCGAAATTTTGGCTAAAAAATAATAGGCCGCTTTGAATCCTTTTGATGTTTATTTTCATGTTAAGAAAATTATTATTTCCCAATTACGTCCAAGCAATGGTTTAGCCAACAATTATATAGAGGCATAGGACGTATCCGAGTGTATAATGTGGCTTAATTACATTTATCGCAAACTATTTTATGTGCGGAACCTTCAACTTCATTAACGTTGAAGTATATTCTACAATTTCGGTTTTACAGTTTACCTAAAAATAAGAATTCTATTAGCGCGCTTTCTCTTACACAAATTTTAGATGCCTACCCAAAATATTTGCATCTCGTCTTACACGAGGAATATATAAGGTATAAATTATAGAAAATCACAATAAAATGCAATATGAAATAATTAAC